TCACAGCGTTACTAAACAGCGCTTAGAAATCACATAACGAAGTAAACTTCGTGACAATACGAGGCTCTTCTAGAATTATCTATGGAATTCGAGTAACGTAATCTTGCTCGAAATCACTGATTAACTATGAATCTCGAATTCTGATACTAAATTATTCGACGTTCGTTTCGAGCCACCGCATATACCTTCTTCGTGGAATTGTGAAAACGTGACAACTGAACGAATTAGATATTTTCCAGCAAAGCATCGTCAATTGTGAGATTTAATATTGTACGATTTCCAAAAATTTCGAAAGTTCGTCGCATCTCGCGTAAAAACGACAAGAGGCTGAAACTCTCAAATTGGTGCAATTATTCGTTAAGTTTGATCGTTTAACAGCGAATGTCGCGCGCTAGATTCCGCGCGATTTCAAATTCCCGTGCAATGATTGATCACTTCGAGGAATACAATGGAAAATGAGTAAAATGGCGGTGGAGAGAAAAGAGGGAAGCGAGTGGAAGAAGGCGGTTAGTTCCGTGCGCGCGGCGATCGTACGTGATAAGGATCGAGAGGGAATCGTTCGGCGCAGGTAACAATATCCTTGAGACTCGAGAGGCGTCATAGTTAGCGCGCGGTCCGACGCTCTGTTTGCCGTGTAATAGTAACGATGTTTATCGATCCTGTTATCGGTAGTACGCTCGCAAATGCACGGAGCCTCGACGAGTTCGAGGACGAGCCGCGGAGACGTAAATACACGGCGGGGGAAGGACTATGGGGCAGGCCTAATTCCATGGAGAGAGAGGAAAATCCATCGGAACGGCGAGAAAATAAACGAAAAAAGGAAAATGTTGCAAAAATGGAAGAAAATTGTCAATTCTTCTATCAACTTGTTTTCTCTCTCTCTCTTTCTCTTTTTTTTCTCTCTCTTTAATTCCATCAGATTCTGCGAAATTTATTTTGACACACAACCGCGCGTGCAGACTCGTCATCGCGATCATTCTTCTCTTCGACGCGATTATTATCTTCGACATTATCTTTATTGTCGTCGACGATTATTAGATTCCGGTCGGTTCGGTATCTCCGTTGTTTCGTGCTGATCTTCTCAGGGTTCTGTTTTGGCCCCTCTTAGGCAAAGAATAATTCAAAAAAAAGGTCTGGCATATTGTTGAAGGGTCGTGATAAGATTGCTGAACATCGTCGAACGTTCTAGCCCGTCGACTTTGGAGCACTGGCTGATAGACGAAGTCCTGTTTACCGTGTTTAAAGTGGAGAGGGTCAGGTTTTTGGACGACGCAGAGGAATAAATTGGGCGGCAAATGGAAAATGTAGCGGGGTGTGATTTATGCGACAGGCCGGAGCTTTCAAGGTATTGCAAAGGGTGGCTGCTAGTTCAATTATTCTAAGTGGTGCATTCAGTTTTCGGGACAGACGCGGGGAACGTAATTTCGAATTACTTAACACAGTTTGGAATGTCAATTTCACTGAAATTCGTACACGGAGTTCATTTGTAACATCTATGCGAAAGAGAAAAGTGAAACAAATTGAAAAATTGATCGTTTAGTCGTTCTATTGGTAACATCGTGCTGCGTGTTGCACGAGAGTGTCGTTATTGGCTGCTTCGTAATTTCAGCCAAATCGATAAAATATCTCTTCGATCTATGAAAAATTACAGACACCTAGAAGAATGAATAAAACACACCTCTCCTTCGATCAAAAGAAAAATCACGCAAGATTGCAAATTACTACACATTATCTCGTAACTTGCTTCACATTCGAACGAAACGAAATTCCTCGCATTTTTACTATTTCCAGCCTCACCTATTCGCATCCACCCTTCGCGATTCGCCAAAATTTCCCTCGGAGCGAAAGGAAAAAAAGAAAGGAAAAGCCAGAAGGTACATACAGCACAAAAAAAAAAAAGAAGGAAAAATTCCCTTTGCATCGAAACGCGACCCTCGACGCCCCAGACTCACGGATACAAAACTCGTGTCTCGTAATTACGTCGCGGCGGTAATTAAATTCCGCGTACGGCCGCGATTTGTCCGGTGGGTGGTGTGGGGAGGAAACGCGGAATAACGAGGCGGCGCGAGGCGACGACGAGCTTTGAAAACGGCGAAGAGATCGTCGGGGAACCCGTGCGGGTCGTTGACATCGTCCCGTGATTTTCCTCGACGATCACATAGATCCACCTTACACGTGTGTGCACGTGGCCATTACGTCGACCCGCGCCCACCCCCTATTGGCGGCATGGCGGGGTGAGCCCCCTCGCCACCAGTTGCATGTGCGATTGCAACTTCACCCCCACGCAATTATCCCATCCAGTAGTCGAGCTGTTCTATAGATAGACCGATATATCGCTCTCTCTCTCCCTCTCTTTCTCCCTGTCCGTCTTTGTCTTTCTCCTCTCCTATCTATCCTTGCCTCTCTCGTTTACTTCTCTATCTCCCCTCTCTCTCTCTCTCTCTCTGTTTATTCTTGTCTTTCTCACTCGTTTCTCTATCTCGTCTCTTTCTCTCTCCACGTTGTCCATCTATCCTTATCTCTCTTTCTCTCGTTTACTTCTCTATCTCCTCTCTCTCTCTCTGTTTATTCTTGTCTCTCTCACTCGTTTCTCTATCTCGTCTCTTTCTCTCTCCACGTTGTCCATCTATCCTTATCTCTCTCGTTCGCTTCTATTTCTCTCTCTCTCTCTCTCGATAGATGCGCATGTTGTTCGTTTCTTGATACGTATGTACTTCTCATCGGTTCCCTCGTTCGTTTTGCCGTGCTGTTTCTCGCCGTCGAGCACATTTTTCCGTGTTTATCTACGCGCCGGAGGTTGTTCCTCGCGCAAGCTGTATCGCGGATACACTTTATTTGCGAGGATAATTGCTGTGCTCGCGCTTATTTTGAATTGCTCACGGTTATATCGAGAGAGGCTCTCTGTGAACTTACATTTTATGGGATTTGAGAATTCTTCTTTTTTTTATTATTGATGAATTTTTTTTTTTTTTTGGAGTATGTTGTACCTAGCGATGGCAATTTTGCGTGGTTTTTTGGAGATATTTTTAAGTTGAAGGATGCATTAGAGAGTGCTCGAGAAGAGTGTTGGAGTAGATGTTCACGGAAATAGGAGCGTCGGATACCTTGAAACGCAAGGTAGAATTTTATCAGCGGAAATAGATTCAGTGACAATCATCTGAGACCTGTGGACGAAGCGTGGAGTACTCGTTACTCTGCGATAGCCTAACCACGTTCTATCGTTGCATACGAAACTATCTCATTACTATTCTTAATAATCCTTCATAATTCAAATTAAAAAAACAAAAAATCCTTCTGAAATAACAGTAACACTGTCTATTTGCTATTTCTACTTCAGTTCATTCAAACCGTACATTTAAAGCAAATGTCAATCTTCAACTCCTATGTTGAAATTACGTCCACTGAAAATAATTTGAACAAACGGATCATTTCACTCGAAGCTTCTGTAATATAACTCGTAACTTGACTAGAAGCATCAAACATTCTAAAATTGAGAAACCTTCACCGGTCACCGGAAAAGTCAAAGGTTCCCTCTTCAGAATTCGAAGCAATAATAATTTCGCTCAAACCTTGTACAATCTAACTCGTGACTTTACCAAAACTACTAATTATTTAAAAAGTTGAGCATCGTTCTAGAGTAAAAATTCTAACAAAAATTAATGAATTAAAATTAATCGAAGTCTGAATAAAAATAATCTCAACGAACGGACCGTTTCGTCCAAATCATGTAAACTTGTAATTTGATCGAAACCAGGAAACGTTGAAAAATGTTGGTAGGAGAGCAAGCATAGTAGTGAAAGATCCGTCGAAAACAAAACCGTCGATAGAAAAGGGGGAAAAAAATATCAAAATCAATCCCTGATAGGCGTATTGTTCGTTCCATTTGTTGATCGCCGGCGGGGCCGGTTAATCGTCGCGAGATAAACCCGTCTTTTTACCCTGGCCACGAAGAGAGAGGAGCGTGCAATCATCGATCTCCGCCGGACTTTGTACGGTTCGATGTCTGCTGGCCGCCGCGTGTATATCGCCCCGTTGCGGAAAAATGAAAATCACGAGCAGTCCGCGCCTCTCTGCATCGCGGCTAAAAACTGCTCGTCGAGCTCGCAAGCCTCCTCTTTGCTTCGCGTTCCTCCGCGTTCGCGTTTAAATATACCGCTCGAATTTTCCACTTTTTCCGGCCGCGATGAAACTCACGTCCACGTTGAAAAGTCACGCGATAACGTATAGTTCGTTATCGATCGGCCTCCTCGTTATCCGCCCAGTCCTTTTCGAAAGCTTCAGGCCAGAAATGATGTAACTCACTTTGTGAATCATGATGACGATGACGATGGTCTTTCTGGACGAAGATCACGGTTTATATTGGACCGTAAGTGGCGTCTCGATGACACTTGTGTCGTTGCAATTCTGCTTGGCAGCCTTGAACTTCGTCTCTGGACCGTGTTATTGCACGAATTGAATGATTCCTTCGTTGCAGTGTACTATTTCGCACGGAGTAGAGGTTCTCTCGTTTCCATGGAATTGGGTTAAGCTCGATACGACGGAGGATTCTTGATGCTACAATTTAAAATACAATTTTCTGAAATTCTAAGATTTCGTTTTCAATTCTATAGCGACAACCTCCTATGCTCTGCTAATCCTCAGAAATTCTCTTTCCTTTACCGCCGATCCTCACTATCACTTTCCTCCATCCCTTCAAATCCTTCTTGAGCAACATTCGCTAAGTTTCTCTGACAAACGAACCTTGCAATCTTTTGAATAAATAAAACTATAACAACGCTTTCACACAATAATCGTAGCTTTGATAATTATACTCCTGTTTCCCTTTAAATCACGCCTAAATCTTTCGCCGTTTACTAAAGATTCTCGTGCAAGGGAACAATAGTTACTAAGTCTACAGATCTAATTTTTTAACAGAACAATTATATCTCTAGCCACACCATTCTGTTCTTAGATCGTTCCATTCCTTATCGCTGTATATTAATAAAACACTTCTCGTTTAGGTAACAATGCAGGAGGAAGATCGTCAGCGGTGATAGGATCGGTTCAAAGGAGCACCGTCACGTCGAGCAACCGCGCGCACTCCGCCTCAAGGAGGATCAGTCATCAGCAACGCCAGCAACAGCAGCAACAGCAGCCGCAAGCCCAGCAACAGCAGCAACAGCCCAGGATACCCTTGGGATCCTTACGAAGCTCGGATGAGCACGGATCAAGAGCCAGCTCGGCACAGGACGTTTGCGATAACTCGAACGATTCCGGGCTTGGCTTCGAGGAACGCCAGCAACACCTCACGAACGCAAACGTTAGTGGATTACACGTATATTCGCCGTGTGTAGGATATTAACACTTTGCACTTGAAGTTCTCTTTGTGCGATAGGAAATGTTGCAAGTCGGATCTTCTTTGAAATTTTTTGAAACTATTGGACGATTGCAAAAGTTCTCGTGCCCGATTTTCATGGCGAGAACCTTATCGACTTCGGCACAGATGTGCCTTTTAGCGTAATGTTACATTCCTGTTGAATAATTGTTCATTTCATTCTATCTCAGTTTCAAATGAAATCTGCTTTCGCACACACCAATAACACAGAAATAAACATTTTGTTTCGATATTAAACCACTTTACGCTCGTACACGTGCATAACTAATCGTCCAATAAGTGCAATTTTATTTAATTATTTTCTTTAATTTTCCACGTTGCGGTATCCTTTCTATTATGACAGAAAACGTGAGTTACAGTGTTGTGAATAGTGGGAAACTTATTTCTTCACACCTAGGAAGTAATATGAAGTGAAAACAATGAAATTGATCATTTTTGGCGCAACTTGGGAAAGATGAGAACGTTAGGGGATAATGTATTCTCGAGGTTGATTCTTTCAAACAGTTTCATTGCTCAGATCTCTTATACATGGTGAACAATTTATTGAGGTTCATAAATCCGTCTTAATTTATTATTTACCACGTGGTGATTATTCATTGTCGCAGCGTAACAAGCTTGTGAACTCATACTCCGCAAAGTTTAACCGTCTCTTTTTTTCTATTTTTTGATAATAAATTTATTCCGCTACTTTATTTACCATTTGACACGTTCTTGAACGTATATCGGAGTTTTTAACTGTTTTTCCGGTTAGCAAAGACAAAACGAAATTTGGCGGACTCGATTCGCGACGCGTCTAACGCGAGGATTAAGTTCGCAACCTCGAATAATATTTAACGAAATATTACAATTTATTGAAACTTCGTATCGTTACATTTGCAAACGTTGAACTTTTTGATTGTCTATCTTACTGAATTTATTATATCGATAAGGTAAATCAATGGAAGATATTGATCATTCGTCGATACGGCGCGGCCGGATTAAGACGAGAAATTTCATTTGAAATTTTGTACACACGATTCTGCGCACTTTGCTCAACTTTCACCCAAGTGTGAAATTAAAGTAGATTTTACGTATCTAGCATATTTATCCTGTGATTCACTGTTTTTCTAGTCAATTGCCGCGATATAGATATTAGTGTATTCTTGCATACTTCCAAAGATAGCGAGAATCAAGTACAAGATCAGTAATAAAAAATCTCTTTGCGTGTACTGTTAGAGAAAGAAGTGTCTCAGGGGCGGTTTCAAGCTTATTTTATATTGGTAATCTTTTATAATTGAAACACATCGGAGACTGCAAAATTAATCACGAAAGACATAACCTAAAAATGCAAAATGGTAAAACATCCAACAATTACATTATCCTTCTCATTGTCATTAAGCTTATTTTATATTGGTCATCTTTTATAATTGAAACACATCGGAGACTGCAAAATTAATCACGAAAGACATAACCTAAAAATGCAAAATGGTAAAACATCCAACAATTACATTATCCTTCTCATTGTCATTAAGCTTATTTTATATTGGTCATCTTTTATAATTGAAACACATCGGAGACTGCAAAATTAATCACGAAAGACATAACCTAAAAATGCAAAATGGTAAAACATCCAACAATTACAGTATCCTTCTCATTGTCATTAAGCTTATTTTATATTGGTCATCTTTTATAATTGAAACACATCGGAGACTGCAAAATTAATCACAAAAGACATAACCTAAAAATGCAAAATGGTAAAACATCCAACAATTACATTATCCTTCTCATTGTCATTAAGCTTATTTTATATTGGTCATCTTTTATAATTGAAACACATCGGAGACTGCAAAATTAATCACGAAAGACATAACCTAAAAATGCAAAATGGTAAAACATCCAACAATTACATTATCCTTCTCATTGTCATTAAGCTTATTTTATATTGGTCATCTTTTATAATTGAAACACATCGGAGACTGCAAAATTAATCACGAAAGACATAACCTAAAAATGCAAAATGGTAAAACATCCAACAATTACATTATCCTTCTCATTGTCATTAAGCTTATTTTATATTGGTCATCTTTTATAATTGAAACACATCGGAGACTGCAAAATTAATCACGAAAGACATAACCTAAAAATGCAAAATGGTAGAACATCCAACAGTTACACTATCCTTTGTTCCGTCCAATTTCTTTCGAACATTTTCGCACAATTTTCCACATCACTCCAACATAAATGGCGCTAGCCATTTTGTTTATACACCACGGGTTATCAGGAGCGTGACAAAAGGGGCTAGCAGAAGCAGCGAGCTCTGTGTTATCGTCGATTATCATTTGGAAATGGCGTTACACTCGTACCGTTATCTCCGCATGTCGTTCTTCTGTTCAGCGAATTTTCCCGATTTTCACAAACCATGAAATAGAGAAAAAAACCAAACGAGAAATTACAAAATCACCAATTTCACATTCCGTCCAGTGGCGTAACACGGAAGATCTCAATCTGACTCTTCTCGACCCGATATTATTTTTAACCCGTGGGTGTGCAACACGCGTCGAAACCAGTCAACGTCCTGCTAAAAGAAATATTACGGCACTATCGGAAACATGGTACAGCAACAGCGCGGTATCGTCGAAGTGATACTCGAGGAAGGGAATCGCTTTTCTCCTTTTTTTTTTTTTTGCACGCTTCTTTTTCCCTTTCGTATTATCGGCGGTGCACAAACACGCGCGTTTCTCCCCGCGCTGTCGAGGCGCGGGAGAGCTCTCTTCGATTGATATCGATACATGCAACGATAACTTATTCTCAGGCAGCTTGTTGCGTAACAGCACAATATATCGATAACAGCAGCGTGATCCTCAGCCACGTATACGCTACCGTTCCGCTACATACGGTCACTACCGCGACAGATTAAACGTTTTAATAATGCGCTCCTTGCAACGCGACCGCGATGTTATCCCCGTGATAATTGGGTAAATGTTACGGACCGCAGGACCGGTTGATATTGACCAAAAGCGGGCCGGTTTCACTGATACTCGAGCCGAATACACGATGGTTGGCCTGTTTTCAAATTGAAATTATGCTTCGGGAGAATAAAAGCAAGAATTTTGAATTATTTAACTTAATAACATATTCAAAAAGCGGCAGCGAAATTTACGAAACGCTCGCTGCTCTGTTGCTGGCTTTGTTATGATCAGACAGTTCGATTATACTGAAGTGTTTATTATCGGTAATTTTTTCATTTTCTAATCTGTCCACTTCTTAAGAATACGTGTTTTTCTTTTTTTTTTTTTTGTAGAATATTATAAAATAACGTGAGTCACCACGTCTGTTTAATCTTTTCCTGTCATCCATGTTAGAATGACCCACATCGGTGGGTCACGTCGGCAAATAAGAGCGCGGTTGCCCCACCGGTAGGTCGTACCGTCTTGAACGCTTTAAAAATGAGTCACAGAGAGACAAATATTTTTGTCGTTAATACGGTTGCGCAATGTGAATTTTTTCGCAGAAACAAAGGGTAGATATTCGCCAATCGTTGAGAAGCAGAATTTTTTGCACCAACAAGCGGTGCTTATTTCTTTAATCTTTAAATTCGACATGATTCAGAGCAAGAAAAATACATCCGTTATTAAGACAGTTTCATAGTCAACATTTTTTTGTAAAAGCGTTAGCATTACCTCACAGTACCTAGTATACCTGTAATTCATATCTACACTGATATATTCACGGTTATAGTTCAATTATAGTTCATAATTATACTCATAGTTAGACCTTCTATCTTACTGCATATGCTAAATTCATCCTGCACTTGTACTACACTTATAATATTCTTATAGTTACATTTATAGTTAAACTCATAACTCGTAACCATACCTGTACCTAATACCAGTGTACCGATAATTCACATCCATACTCCAAGTTCCTCGTACATTACCTCACAAAACTACACTTCCCCATTCAAAGAACCAAAAACTCCACCCTAAAAAAAAAAAGAAAAAGAAAAGGCACCCTAACAAACCAGCATTATTCTCACCCTCTACCCCATTTCCACCCTGAAACAGACTTTCTAAACGAGGTCTCGGAACATTTCCCAAGAGAGCATCTCCCCGCGGTCGAAGCCCGTGAAGCTTCCCCTCTCGGTTGCGCCACTCGATGGTGCACGTGCAAGCGTGCTCTAATGCGATCACGCGTCTCTGCCACGGGATCGGTGCTCATCGTCGAATCAACGACCACACTGACCGGTCTCTAACGGTAGTTGAACCCAGCTCGATCAGAACGGTCTGATTCGTTCAATTGGCCAGACCAGGGGCCACTGGTTGCACACGCACACACTTAAAACAATCCTCTCTGTTTGGTTGGTTAACAGGCTTGGAACGGCGCCGGTGAGGAGGACTCGAAGAGGAGGAAGATGGACATCAAGCTTGAGTCTGAAGATGCGAATTTCGCCTTTCCAGAGGTCGCGCATGTGACAAGCCCCGAGAGTAAAACTGCTAGCAGGGGCACGTCGAATGGAATTGGGGGATTGGCGACCATTTCCGGAAGTCGAACGGGAAATGGAGGTACAGGAAGGGTGGTCGAGGTCTCGAGGACACGTCCAGGCTTGGGTGTCCTCTCGAAGAGGACACCCACTGCTCAACAGGGTCCCATCACACTTACTTCTCAACTGTGTACGTGTAGAACACGTGTTTGTTCCTATTATTTCCACTTCTTTCGTTTTTTGTTTCTCTCCTTCATTCCTACCAGGCTATCGTTAACCCTCTTTCACACATTATCGGAACGTTCAAACGAAGGCTGGGTTTATCGATCTCTCGTTGAGGAGAGAGCCGCTCCTCTCTAGTTCGTAGACGGGTTTGAAAATTTATTACCGTTGATATTGCGGTTTTTTGGTGGAGATACCAGAGCCAGCGAGGTCTTCGCGAGGTCACGAGGCGGAGATAACGTCGAAGCTCTTCGGTATATAGAAAGATGTTCTTGAAATCTTTTTCAAGAGGAGAATTTACGAGAAGGAATTTTCGAAAGAGGGACAGAGAGAGAGAGAGAGAGAGAGAGAGAGAGAGAGAGAGAGAGATGTGTATACGTGTCGGCAGTCTGTTTATATTGTCGGGCGCGTGTTAATTGTCATTTTTAGTAGAGGCGCGTTTGCGTTGTTAGATAAATTGCGCTCGGTAGTAATTCGCGAGAATTCCTCGAGCAGCTTGTTTGCATCTGGATCTCGGACTGTAAACCGAAGAGAGAGGAGACCGATTTTCTGGCTGATCTTAGAAGATGACGATAACCTTCGGCTCCCACGACTTCTACCCCGGCCATATTGTCGCTGGTTTTCTCTCTTTTTTGTTTGCGCGGCTGGTTCGATTGGCGAGACTAGTTTCGATAAGCCTGTTTCCGGCGAAATTTTTCACCCCTCTCTCTCTCTCTCTCTGATACACGCACACACAGCACACTCCACCACGGTTTTTCTGCCGCGGCGATACGTTATCTACGTTGTTTAGGAACCGTTTAGTCCCGGTTAAAATAAACCATCGATATTCTTTCGTTGATATCAAACAGCGATACGGAATGTAGGTCAAACGAGACTTTATGTAACCGCGTACAACACATATTGTTTCCTCTCCCCGTTTTATTATAATGAGAACTCTGAACGCATTTTCTCCTTGTTGTATACTATTACCTCATCTCCCTAAGCCTGTAAAAGTATAATTAAACCAGTGTTATCCGCGTATGGAGCACGTTACACAATTCCGTTTCTCGAGTTAGCATCAAACATATCGACACGTTTCTACAACGAGCAATCCTCGCTTACTCGATACGCGTTTTTCGCGCGTAAAGCTCTCATAAGCAACAGCCTTTATTTCTGCACGCGCTGATAACGTAAATAGAGAAATGAGAAAATCGACGTACGTTAACCCAATGGTTCTTCTTGTACGATTAACAGGTAGTGCTTCCACAGATGGAAAGGTTCAACTGCAGATTATTTGCCAACCTGAGCAACAGCATAGAGCTCGTTACCAGACAGAGGGCTCCAGAGGGGCGGTGAAGGATCGTACCGGAAATGGATTTCCAATTGTACGCCTGGTTGGTTACGACAAACCTACCACACTTCAAGTTTTCATCGGCACAGACCTTGGTCGCGTCGTACCTCATATGTTCTACCAAGCTTGTCGTGTGAGTGGAAAGAACTCGACGCCATGCATCGAACGTAAAATCGACGGCACCATAGTGATAGAGGTGGATATGGATCCAACGAAGGACATGATGGTTACGTGTGACTGCGTTGGCATCTTGAAAGAGAGAAACGTCGATGTGGAGCATAGATTTCCGCAGGAAGCTGGTGTGCTACAGGGACGTAGCAAGAAGAAGTCCACACGTTGTAGAATGGTGTTTCGTACGACCATAACTCATCCGGATGGTACTACGGAGACTTTGCAAGTTTGCTCTCAACCTATAGTTTGCAGTAAGTGTCGCTAGAGAAATTATAGAAATTATTCGTTGGACAAATATTTGAAAAACGAACCAATCATTTCAGCTCAACCGCCTGGTATACCAGAGATCTGCAAGAAATCACTCACATCCTGTCCCTGCACCGGAGGATTGGAATTATTCATACTTGGGAAGAACTTCCTCAAAGATACTCGCGTAGTGTTTCAATTAGACAACGACGATCTGTCAAGCAGCTTAGAGCCTCACTGGGAATGCGCGGTGGTACCTGACAAGGAGTTCCTTCAGCAAACTCATCTTGTGTGCGTAGTACCACCCTATAGGCGGCAAGATCTAGCGCCTACGGAAACGGTCAACGTGAAATTGTACGCGGTGTCCTCTGGAAAAACGAGCGAACCTCACATGTTCCTCTATACCGCTGCATCCACGCCACCTGAGCCATCAGTCGGCAAGATCGAGCCTATAACACCACCATTAGCAACCACGAATGGCGATGCTACGTTAGCAACGTCTCCTACAGCGGTATCTCTAACTGCAGGTGTACCATCAAACAGTAAGTGACTTTCTTCATCACTGAACAATGTCGCTGTCCAGTTTCCTTAATGTAGTCGTTACGTTTCAGCTCTGATTACACAAACAGCCGCAGGAACGCCGAACTTCTTAGCTACTATGCCTTCTCAACAGCCAGCTTCTCAGACAACAGAAGCCTTGAAGAATGATCCAAGCCCACCGCCAGTCACTGCGTCATCCCAGGTAACGCCAGTGATGATGTGGGCAGCGCAGAGTCCGAATTGTCAAAATTCACCTCCTGACGTGATGATGCCACCGCCAGCATTGGTAGCGAATCCCCTTCTAAACCGTAGATCATCTTCGAACCTTCAGTTAATACTTCCGGATAATTTGAAGACGGAGGTGTTAGACGAGAACAGCGAGAACAGTATGATCAGCGAGAACAGCATGCAAAGTATACCAACGCCTACTGCGAACAGTTCCACGGGTACCAGTCCGTTGCAACAGCTGGTGAACGAGAACTCGAGGGAAACGCCGCAGGCTAACATGATCAGATCGGTGCCAGTCGCGGCTAATAACTCGCCTGTACAGGAGGCAGTGAATCTCCTTGGTGTGGTCGATCTAATGCGGAACCAGCACACTTTGTCGATGGTGTCCACCCACCCAAACACCTTCGGAGGTATGCACGAACCGTCTCAAGTCAAAGTTCTAAGTCCCCATCATATCAACAAAGAAACTAACCCGATGTTGCCGACAGAAGGCAGTCCTAACGGAACTCTTCAAGGCGGCGGTGTCGTTGATCTTCGGATGAAGCATCACCAATCGGAGTTTGGTACATTGTCGAACTTCACCGCAACGCCAAACGGCCAGCTACCTGCACAGAGTGGTCACAGCGTAGAGAAATACTTGAACCACATCGAGTCGAACGTGAAGGAGGTTGAGAGTCAGGAGAACGGCTTCGTGGGCACTATACAGCAACGAGCTTCCATTATCACTACAGGACGTCAACCTCAGCAGGGACAAGCTCCTACTATTTTAGCCTCTCCTCCTCAAGGAGTTAAGTTAGACACTCTAGTTAACACTGCCGCGGAATCTCATCAAATGGTGTCGCCATTGCGCACCGTCAACCCGACTAGTAACGCTATGATGAGCCACGTTTCCGCGGTCCCCGATCACGAAACGATACCCAGTCCCCAACAGAATAGAACTAGCCCGACTATTCCTGTCAAAACGATGCTCCTCGAGGCGTTGATGCCGCCACAGACGGTGCAACCTTTGGCAGGAAACGGTGCCGCGTCCGTTCCATCACCCGCGTCAGTGGTTCCGGAACAGACTAACGGTGACAGTCTATTGACCACCATTAACGCGGCCCTCCTGCCAACGATGCAGGAGCCAGCCGTGACCGCAACCGGTACGTCGAATGCTAGCGTAACTGTAGCATCCCATAACCCGTTACAAGTTACGAACGAGACTATGTCGACAGCGACGGAGCATATTCCGCAGATGCAAGGTCTTATTCAGCAAGATGTTGTAGCGATGCAGCAGGCGCAGCAAGTGGAGCAGGTAGTAGCTCAGGCACAGCAACAGGTCGAGCAGGTTGTCGCTCAGGCGCAGCAGCAGGCTGTCCAGGCTGTCCAACAGGCGCAGCAGCAAGTGGTCCAGCACGTGGTGCAGCACGCTCAAGTTGTCCAGCAGGCTGTGCAACAGGTGCAAGCGGTGCAGCAGGTTCAGGCTGTGCCGGCGGGTCA